ATTTTTAAAAAAAATTATTTAATTTTATTTATTTATTCATATATTTCCATTTGACCAGAGAGAGACACACAGAAAGAGAGAGAGAAAATGAGAAAGCAAGCTACCAGGTCCAGGATTCAAACCATGGTCAGCCATGTGGGAATGTCCAGCACCTTAATCATCACACCACCTGCTGGCCCCCATGGTTGTAAAATTTAATAGTGATGCTGTGTAACTTCCTTTTTAATTGAAAAGGGGTTATCTTTTATTTAGTTGGTAGAGATAAAAGTTTCAACATAAGACCACCTAGAGATGAGTCTGGTTATTTAAATTTGATAGCTAGTTGTAACCATCTCTTGCTCTTTTCAGAGAGTTTTTGTTTTTGTTTTTGTTTTTTGCTATAGGGAGCTTGCACTCGCCAGACAGAGAGACAGAAAGTGAGAAATCACGCCCTAGGGGGGATGGCCATGCCGTAGTCCTTTCTCCACTCTCCTTTTGGGATCATAGGCACACATGCACATGTGCCCTGCATGAGTTTCAAACAGCTGGGTCCAAGACTCAAACCGCAGTCAACTACATGGGAGTCCAGCGACATAACCATTACACCATCTATTGGTCCCTGTATTAAAAAAAAAAAAAATCTTTATTTAATTCCATTTATTGTTGTTATTTTTAATTTGACCAGACAGAGAGAGAGAGAGAGAGAGAGAGAGAGAGAGAGAAGGAAAGCAAGAAAGTAAGCTGCCAGATCTGGGATTGGAATCGTGGTTGGCCATTTGGGAGTCCAGCACTTTTTAACCACCACACACCTCCTCTCTTGCCCTTTTTTAAAGGCAAAGTTAAGGTGGTAGTCTGCTAGGCTCATAAGCCTCTAAGATAAATGATAGATTATTGATTCAGGGTTTCAATCTGAGTTGGATTGGATTCTTTTTTTTTAAAGAATTATTTATTTAATTTTATTTATCCATTTATTTATTTGACTCGGGAGGGGGGAGCAAGAAAGCAAGCCACCATTCCGGGACTTGAACCATGCTTGGCCATGGAATGTCTAGTGCCTTAACCACTATGCCACCGCTGTCCCCCTCCCCAAGTTGGATTGGGTTTTATTCTCACTTATTACTAAGAATGATATGATGCTAATTCTGTAAACACTCAAAGACTTTATGTGACTGAATATAAACTAAAAGCCTCAGCTGCTTTCATTTTTAGCTCTTCAATTAGCATAGCATTTTGTGTTCTTAATTTAAGTCATAGTCTTAACTACTGCTTTAATTTGCAGGATGAGTCTGAATGTACTTCAGATGAAGAAATCTTTATCTCACAAGATGAAATACAGTCATTTATGGCTAATAACCAGTCTTTCTACAGCAATAGAGAACAATACCGACAGCATCTGAAGGAGAAATTTAATAAATACTGCCGCTTAAATGATCACAAGAGGCCCATTTGTAGTGGCTGGTTGACAACGGCTGGAGCAAATTAAATAAAATAGCTCTGTCTTTCAGTGAAACACTCAAGATGACTACTGCGCCTTCTCTTTCAAAAAACTCTTAATTTAGTGACTTATGGCAAAATTTTATCTTAAATCAATGTGATTCTTTCTTGTTTTGGGAGACGGTGGAGGTAACCTCATTAGTTTGTTCTTTCTCCAGGCTTGTGTCTTTAGTTGCGTGGCTGCGCAGGCCTGCCATATGATTTAAGCCATCTCTTTTCATTAAATGTTTCTCTTCCTGTGAGACTTACTAAAGCAACTTAGTGGCAAAAAGTAATGTTGTACTTATACTTCTGTACAGAAATGACAATGAGCTGAATATATGGTTTTACAAAGTAGACATCCACTTGCCGAAATGTTTGGATGTAATGTTAAAGCGCAATGTGCAAAATTTAAAATAAAGAATATTTATTAATACGCATAGTAAAATTTGGTGTACATGTTTCTACTTAAGTTTGCCACTTGTGGACTTGGTACTTGACCAGTATTGATGTAAGAGAGGATGAAAAACAGTTGAGAATAGAGATGCAGATGTTGAAGACATTCCCTTAGATCAAATTTGATAATGGATAAAAACAGTTTTCGGTCTTTGAAAGAATAAATTTGCTGCAGTACATTTTACGAATAATTTTGCTGGCTAGCATCTTTCTCATGAAATTTTAATTGCAACGCTAAAAAGTTCTCTAATAAATGACACGAGCAATTCCGGAGGTTCATATTGATCTTAAAGATTGAAAACAAAACTCAGCAAAATTTCAGCCAAGGGTTGCACGGTAAGTAATGATTTGGTGTGTGAGCCTGGGATCCGGAAGGCGCACTGAGCACAAACCACTCCATGGTCTGTATAAATGCGTGTTCAATCTTATCTTGTTTCCAGCAGTTAAGTCACCGTTGCCTCACAGTTTACTGCTGCCACCAGGTGCCTGTGAGTGCTGCAGGAGAAGATTCCCCTAGGAGTATACTCATCTTGCTGCTATTTAAAAAGCTCAGTCAGGGGCCAGTAGGTGACAGGTGGTTGGGGTGGCTGCATCATTTCACATGGCCAGCTGCACAGTTCAAATTCAGGACCAGGAGCTTGAAAAAAACACTGGGGATGTGTGCATGGGTGCCTAAAATCCCTAGAAGAGAATGGAGAAGGCATGGTGGCATGGCCATTCCCCTCAAGGGAATGCTTTCTCACCTCCCCTCTCTCTATCTCCAGCAAGTAAACACTCCTACAGCAAAACAGAGTGAAAAGTTAGCTGAGTTAAATAGCTCAGTAAACTCTGAGTAGAGGCTTGTGTCTGCATGATAATACTTGGTGTGCAGTAGACAAGTGGTGGGACAGTCTGTACTAATGCACTGTTAGATGGAGTGGAGTTTATGAGCTTTCTGTCAATCGAATTTCAAGTGAGCAACAGCACAAGCTTAGATTGTTTTTATGGCATTTTTTTTTCTTTTTTAGATATTTTATTATATCATATAATTAAATATGTCTTGACTTTTCCAACAACTCAATAAAGTAATAAACTCAGCCACTACAAATGAAATTTTGTAGAAACAAAACTATCTCTTGGTAAAGCATACAAATGAATCACAGAGGCAGAAACACTGTTAGCCAAAAGCAGCACCCAGCCTAGGCTGATGCCAATATGCCGAGGGGACAAAATAAAGAGGCAGTCTAGGTTAAATAATAATCCATTAAGAGAACATTTTCATTAACTCCAGTTAATTTCTTTTTTTTTATTTTAAATTTATTCATTCTCTACATTAATTCACTATACACCATCACAACACACAAATGAATTTTCCATCCAAAATACACTGTGCATTGGCTCAATCAAGCACATCAACATACATGTTCTCAGCAAATAATTTTCCAGTTCTTATGTCCTGCATACCTTGCCTTTTGTTTTGCCATCCTTGATTCCCCATCCCCCACCCTCTGCTTTATGGCATTTCTTTGACCCACCTTTTGAGTTGTCTTTCAAATCTAAGTGTTAAATAGGAAAATGGGGCAGAGGTAAAATGTCATTCTTCTCAGATCCTTCTTTATTTTAATCCTGGAATCCGTTAAAAAAAAACAAAAACAAAAACCGTCTCTCATTACAGTCACAAGTGTTCTTACGAGATCCCCAAAAGCAAGTTTTTATTTTATTTATTTATTTTTGTTTGTTAATTATTTTCTCATTTGACCAGAGACAGCGAGAGAAGGGGAAATTGAGAAAGCAGGCTGCCGGGTGGGGTACTTGAACCTCTTTGGGCCATGTGGGAGTCCAGCACCTTAACTACCACATCACCTGCCTGCTCCCAAGCAAGCTTTTAGCTTTTAGCTTTGCCCTTGAGGCCAAACAGAAGATAAGCAAGGGAGTTTATTGAATGAATAAACCAACCACAGTCACTGCTTATTCCATTTCCTGCTAGGGAGGGGTCCAGTAGTTACTCAGATACATTTTCTTTGGAAGACTGGCTATGTTAAGAATGTAGAAGTGAAGCAGTTTTCAGACTTAGATTGGGAACACAATGATTGACAGCAAAGCAAGCTCTTAAAACCAGCAACCAACCCATGAAGGGACAATGGAGTGAAGTCTGCCTAGGAGGGCATACTTGTCCCAAAACTGGATTGCTGGTGGTCCAGACCGTGCTTCATCCCTTTAAGTGATAGGTACTGTCCCATGAGTGCTTGTGCAGAGTTGTTAACGTATGTAAATGCTTAAAAGTGCGTGTCACAAAGTAAGCACTCATGAGGTACATGTTAGCGATTGCTTTAACCTGGTACACGTTGTGGTACATTTGCTATAATGCGCGGGTGAGAGGTAGCTACAACAGTTGGGACCAGTTGGGCCACTTAGGGACAAGACCCCCAATGCGTGCACTTGGGAGTCCTTCCACTTTTAACCATTCAGTTCTCCTTTAAGGCAAGGGATCAGGTAGAGTTAAGAGGCCTTCCTTTTCAAGGTCACCCAGTCTCGATGGCGGAGACACTCCTGGGCTGAATCCTTCCCATCAGCCACCGGCTGGCTTGGGAGGGTGTTAGAGTCACCCTTAAACGCCCTTAATTCCTCCTCCTAGCCTTGGGGGTCAGGGAAAGGGACGGGAGATTAAGCAGGATATCCTCTGGGCTGAAGCAAGCCCCGCCTGAACCTCGGGTTCCCCGCCCCAAGGGGGAGAGCCCCGGGGACGCCTCACCGCCGGGCGGGCGCGGAG